CAAACCGGGTCTAACTGGTCGCCGGCCCTAACTTTAGATTATCCAAAACACTTACACGACAAACACAACGATTTCCCGCTGGCACCCAAAAATATTTCGGTCCTCAACAAATGGCTTTCGGATTATCAAAGTGACTTGCTATCGAGCAGAGATAGGGTTACTTTAATAGACAAGCTGGTGACGACTTTGGGCACCAAGAACAAATATGTGGTACACTATCGCACGTTGCAAAAGTACCTGGAACTCGTTTTACAACTACAAGAGGTTCAACGAGCAATGTCTTTTAAAAATTACATCGACAAAAATACCAAGTTGCGAAAATTGGGCAAGTCCAATTTCAAAAAGGACTTTATCAAATTGATGAATAATTCAGTATTTGGCAAGACAATGGAAAATGTTAGATATCGCATCAACGGACATTTGCTGAGAGATTTTCAAGACACCGAAAGGTACAAGAAACTAACTTTTAAACCAAACTATAAAATGACGACTCCGTTTAAAGAGTGCGATCTCTCATTGATCTCTCATTTGTCGAAATGTACCGCACAAAAGCAAAGTTAAATAAGCCAATTTACTGTGTTGTAAGTGTGTTAGATCTATTCAAAACTTTAATGTTCGACTTCTACTACAAGAGTTAAAAGCGGGTTTTGGCTCGGACGTCTGTCTTTTGTACACTGACACCGACAGCCTATTAGTTGAGATTCAAAATCAATGATTTGACCAATTACCTATGTAAAAAGCGCAAGTTATTTGGTTTGAGCAATTACCCAGCGGATCATCGACTTTACGATTCAAAAAATAAAAAGTCATCGGCAAAACGAAAGAAGAATTTGTTGGTCAAGTGATATCGGGAGCCATTTGCCTACGCCCGAAAATGTACTCCATTTTAACGGAACAACAAAATTTGAAAAAGGCAAAGGGAGTTACTAAAGTAATAACTGAAAAATGGGTAACGCACGAGGCTTTTAAAAGGTGCCTATTTGAAAAACCGCAACATTTTAAAAAACAACAACTTTTCAGATCTGATAAACATCTGTTATTTACAGTCTCGCAAAATAAGCTGAGCCTTTCCCCATTGGACACAAAGTGTTACCGATTGCAAAATGGCGTTGATACATAGGCCTACGGGCATTATTTATCTGTTCGAGAAGGCGGCAATTCGGTGTCTTCCGGAAGTTCTTCACTGACAAAACTTTGTTTGGGTCCCTCGAGTAGATAGTACAAAGTGGGCCTCGTTTTCACCCTCTTGCCATTGACCTGTTTAAATTGACTCGTGCGCTTCTCCATTTGATAAACGTCTACGGACCAGACTGGATCGGTCACCCTTTTGAGGGTGCCGCCTTCTTGTTCACCCGGGTAATAGAGACACCTAAATTAAACCAAAACATCTGAAGAAAGTTCTTTTTGGAAAAGTTCTTTTAGTTGTTTATCACTAACCCTAGGAGGCGCACTGGATGCTTGTTTCACATGGTCCAACTTGATGGCTGCTGCGGGATCTTCGTCAATTAATCTAGTCTTTTCCTCGTTGAGCAATTTTATTACTTGATGCAGATGCTTCACCCGTTCTACATTTCGTTCACCTACATTTAACATTTCTTCGCATTGATGACAAAATAAATGCTTGGCCCATGTGCGGTTAAACCGTTCGACAATTCCCAACGACCTATGGACGTCGGGTTTGCCCACTTGAATTTCAACTGCGTGTTTGGCTAACAACTTTTTAAATTTGCCTTTAAATTCCGACACTGCATTCACCATGACAAATTAAGGCCAAGTCACAGGCGACATTTTGTAAATCTGTTTAACGGCTTCCGACTTTTTTTTCGGCTGTCGCCCCATGTCGACAACAGTCAAAGCATATACATTTAAACGTGATGTACAAAACATCCAACTGGTGTTTCGGATGTACAGAACCTCACATTTATGCATTCAAAAGTATTCCCAGCATTGCTGGAACGGAACTCATTTTTACAGCCTGTTTCTTAGTCTCAGATGACGGCCTACTTTAGAAAATCAGCTTGTTATAATGACTCTGGATGAGAAATAGATTTCTTCTATGGTTACTTTTTATTTGTGTAGGAGTTTTTGTTAAGACCCAGAATTGCTCAAAAGTAATCCAGAACCAGGAAAAGCGTCACCGTCACTTCAGTCGATCCCAAGCTAAGATTTGGAAAATAAATCTGTACTATCCAAACACACAAGGTGCACTACGGTACATGTACATGTATATTAAAGTGACCAATTTCATTGGATTTTGAAAAATTTTAGATGCAATGACACTGAATAATGTTAATGATCAAGAACTAAGAAAAAAGCTGTATCATGACACTTCATCACCAGTTCTAGTCATCTACATGCAGTCAGCCAGCACTACATGCTTTTACCTTCCATGATTTTACTTATTGGTGTTTTCATTACATCATGCACAAAGTCAGACCCACAGCACTGCATGTGCAGTTGTTCACTATACTGTATGTCGTCAGTGACATCTGTGATCTGTAAGCCCATCGAGATGATGAGGTTCACAGCCTGGCTTATCGTGCATTGGACAAGCAATGCACGCAAAAAAATACTGTATTGAACAGCGTGTTAGGTTAACTGTTTGTGTTTGCGTGCCGGCTAAAAATTCTGGCCTGTACTGTACATGCACATGCACATGTTCATCAGCTGTATCAAATCTTCCATGTTAACATTCACTTAAAAGCAAAGTGAGCAAACCTCCAGCAACTTCCCACTTCTTGGTCCTCTTAAAGCAATGATTTCATCTGTTGTTAGCTGGAACTTCTCCAGAAATGCATCAGTTACACTTGCTCTCATATCAAGTTGCTGCCTAGAAAATACAACAAACCAACAAATAATTATAAAAACTCAGCACCGTATCAGTGCATTTGCGTTAAGGAGAAATGACGAAACAGAATCTCCAACTTTTGAGTTGTTTCTCAGACTGAAAGTCCCTCCCTCGCTACTGTCCATATTGCACAAGAGGAAAACAGTCTTTACTATGCTTTGAGCCATGAGGGATGAATTCCGTCCTTTGTCCAGCGTTGCTTAGCTATGCACATCCGCATGTACATAAAAGCTTTACTCCTGGCCCTGGCAATTTTGATGAGTAACTTTTCAGCTGGGTGCACAACTATTTTTTACATTCACATGCACAGTTCATGCATGCTTATAAAGTCACACACAGACACATGCAGTCGGCACCAACAGTGGGTCACAGTGTGCACAAACTGTCTTCACTTCCTCTCAAGTCCAAATGGATCTATATGTTAGCTGCAGAAATGAAATAAATTCACATCAAATGCTATTGATATGACTGTATGGGAGTGGGAACTTTTTACACCACCAACAAGCAAGTTTGTCAAGCAGCTAATTTGGGCACCACAGTTCACGGTCTCTTCAGATGAAGACCACATTTACAACTTTGGAATTACACATGCTTACTCATCAAACTCCCTCGGTCATCATAGGAGATTATTTAGTTTGGAAAATTCATGCATTTGGAATATCATGTCAGAAATATCGCACATAAGGTTTAAAATTATTAAACCTGTTCCATAAATTATCCATGAATTATCGTCAAAGTTATTTTAAAGAATTGGTTATCAGAAGAAGAGTTTAAACTGAGATTCAACCATAATTCATAAATACCTGGGACAGTTTTCTATTCCTGTTGGTCGAAACGCGTCACATGATCGTGTATGTTTGATAATACCCGCTTAGAAGTGATAATGCCCGCTAAATAAATTACACGCTGGTATATGGATACAAGACTGTTAAATCGGGTCTGATTGGTCAGGAGTCTGTGTGCACGCGACACGCCAAGCGTGCCCCAAGTTCATTGAAAGGTATTCCACTGGACAATCTTCAAAAGGAATATACCAGAAAATAGACAGGGGTGTTTGGGAAAATGAAGTAAAGTTTTAGAACAAAATCGTTGGAAATCCATCGTATGCTGACTTCTTTTGGCCCGTTTCCTTGTTAAGGAGAATGAATGCTGATAATGCCCTTGCCTGCGGCTCGAGCATTAGTCACGTCCATTCTCCTCGACTAGTTTTACATGTAAATGCACTTTTAAAACACATACTTAGCACATATTTATTCCCTTAATAATTTGGCTAAATGCAAATTTCAAAAAGGAAATACCTAGACAACTAAAACACAAAAGTGACAATTTGCATATAAATATGAACAGGTTAAAATTATGAAAATCATACGCTATAATTCAATATACACAAGTAAAATTATCAAAAATAAATAAAAATAATAAAATAAAAACAAAACAAAATTATTATTATGGTGTTTAATTCAATCATCATTGCAGCCAAACAGGCTGAATTGCACATGATTTCACAAGGATAATATTAAAGACAAGAAACAATATAATATTTAAATTAAAAAAACAAACAGAAATACAAAGACAAATAAAAAAACAAACCTCTGTGGTAATTATTATCAGCTAACAAGGTCTAAGGCCAGATGGATTTAATTACGTGTGTTCAAAAGCCTGGTAAAGAAAAGAATCAGGCTATTTTTAAACTGCTCAGGTTTACACATGATTTCCTTAAACGGGTTACGATTTCTTAACTTCCCAGATGTGGCATTATTTAGTGGCAACCAGTGACAAAACTGAGGAGATTTCGCAAGTGACTGAGTGAACTTTAGGCAAAGTTTAATTATTCTATCACAGAGTGTTTCAAGTTGAACAAGGGTTAGAGCAATTTTGTATGTTTGATACTGGATGCCTAAAATTAAACGTAACACTTGTTTCTGAACCCTCTCAATTTGGTGACTTTGGCTTCGAGTAAGAACTGGATGCCAAGCAGGGGTAGCATACTCAAGAAGTGGCCGAATGTTCCGTATAGATGTATACTGTAATGAGATCACACCTAGGCAGGTTGAACGGAATCAGTTGACGTAACATACGCAACTCTGATATTCGCTTTTTAAACAATTTATTGGATATGTTTTTCCATTTAAGGTTAGACTGAATAAGAACACTCAAAACTCTCACAGAGTCAATTTGCTGTAATACCTGGTCGTCAATAGTCAGATGGAGTGGCTGAAGAATATTTTTACCAAAATAAACTCTCATAGCATGGCATTTGTTAATATAAAGACACATGTTGTTTTCTGTACACCATATTATAATAACGTATTAAGTGTGGTGTGGGCTTCAGTGCCCCGCTGTGTTGACTCAGCGATTGTCATGTCGTCGACATACAGTACTTCCAACACTGAGGTCCTACAGAGGCGAGAGCATCATAAGAACAAGAACCATGTTCCCTGAGGAACTCCCACTGTAACTGGGGAGCAATCGGACAAGCAACCACGATATCACACACATTGGGTGCGGCCAGTGAGGAAGTCAGCAATTTAAGGAATCAGCCAGCCATGAGGATTTAAATTGAGCTGTTCTTGGGGCAGATGAATATGTTTATGCTTCAAGAGCTCAGGGAGAAGTGTGTACTCCTCATGTAGCCATATAACCCTTCAGAGCGAATAAAAAACTTCATTTGAGAGAGATGTGTGCTGAGATTGTATGGTGCACAGTTCAAAATGCACCCAATTTATCCCATTTCCAATTGCCAAGTTAACTCTTGTTGCTGATACCTGCGAGCAGTAATCCCATCCATGCAAATTTACTATGAACCCTTCCACTTAAACAATCCCGTTCCAATGGGTGATCATAACCCATAGCTGTTGTATAACTAAATATTAAATAACTATGCATTTACTTGTACTTTCTTTTTTTTGGTGGGGGTATTATGCTCTTGACAGGGCATACTACCACACCTTGCCAATAGTAGTCATTATTTATTCCATTCCATAACCATCTAATGTTTATAGCACACAGCAGTGCCCAAAACAGCAACGCGGCAAGCCCCACCCTACAAGGTAACACAGACCCACACTCATGACACCCACTTTCCACTAAAACTCAGATAATCCTGGACAAAATAGTTGGAACACCTTGTGGGAAGCGTGGTGAAAAGATCCCCTCTCCCCCATTCAATATTGCGGTCATTTAGCCCAGCTTACCCAATGAGAAGCAACATTGACAGGGGGTGAGGGGAGACATGTTCCAACGAGATTTGTCCAGAATTGTAGAACCAGAAAATTTGGATGGGATGAACTCCAATAAGAGGAGTAGGAAGGCAGTACACTGCAGCCCAAAGTGGGAGGTTTTGTTGAGTTTTGCGAGTGTGGATTCTAGCAAGGATTTGTCGTAATCCTGGAAAGGCGTCTTTAATAGCAGACAGTTTTCCCAAATCAGCAGAAGTTTTGTCTTTGGCTGCATCTGGAAGGTCCGGGACCGACAGGAAATTCTGGAAATCTTCTGCTGGCAAATAATAGAACACCGGTTCGGTTGGCAAGTGCACGTCATTGCTTGGCCTTGACAAGGCACTTGGAAATCTCCATGCATGACCGATCGAGCGGGAGTTCAGGAAAAATTGGTCTGGGAGATTCCATTCAAGCCATGTGGTATTTGAACGAGCTGTGGCTAGTGTCCTCTTCTGGGGGGGCGGCTGATGGCAGGCCGAGCACTTGAATCATGTCCCGCTGAAGAAGACAGAGGCGGCCCTCAGATGGAGAGAGGGTACTAATTGAGTCAACTTTGTCCTCATCGGAAGAAAATGCTGGCTGAGCGGTCAGAGACAGGGCTGTGCCATTATAACATGCTGATTTTTGCATTATGGGGGATGGATGATTAGATGTATGGTCAAATTGCTGACCTTCCTACTAGAGGGGCAAACACCTTAGATAAGATAATTACTAATATGAGTTTTTGGTATAATGGTGTACAAATGAAATCTCCTGCTGGTTTGTCTGATGACAATGCCCTTTACTGGTCACCCAAGTTGGAGTGCACAATGAAATCCAACCAGACCAACTATCAGTATGGTCAACATACATGTATGCTTGATAGTACAATGAGAGCTTTTGACAATTAGCTGGCGGACCGCAACTGATCTGAACTAATCCAACATTCTGATGCCAATGTCCAGTGTAAGCATTTTACACACACCCTTACCAAGGCCATCCACAGATACTTGTCATGCATATATATTTATATACAATTTTATTAAGAAGGTTTTTCCATTTATTTCAATGGTAAAAACTTTATTTTTTTTACGTTTGTCAGAAATTCAACCACAATTTGGCCTTGTGTCACTAAAGGTGGATATTTCAATAAACCTTTATTGTTTGATTGGTTGATTGGGTGCTCTAATCTTTGGTTGGGGGGTCACATTCATGAACAAATGAACCAGTCCAACACCTAGGCAATGAACAGCAACATTTTCTCTTCTATTTGACTGGTGATACATACAACTAAAATAACTGAGGCATAGAAAGCACAGACCCTGTAAGGCCCTTCAGTTGCCATCTTGACAATCACTGAAACGTGACCTTGGTTTATGCTGAGTTGTACAAAGGCTTCCAATCATTTCAATATTTAGCCAACACAATGACTGGCATTTACCATACTCACCGCTCTTTGTGAAGATCTGTTGTCTTGCTGATCAAATCTGATGTCTGTTCACGTGCGGCCTGAGAATTAAAATTCATTTGAAAGAAAAATACCCATCAAAAAATAATAATCAACTCAAAGAGTATGTGATGCGTAGTGTGATTATATAGTACCTGCTACAAACATGGAAATCTTAAGTACTGGCCAAGGCCTCAGCTTAATTCACTTTTTTTGGAGTCACCTTACTTTTTCTGCTAAACGCATGTGCAAAACTTCTTTGCTGACTCCCCAAGATGACTCAAATTGCTGAAGTTAAACTCTTTGCCTTTGTGGCAAAATTGGCAACTGACTGCTTGAACACTGACACACAAGAAACAGATATCTACTGAAATTCACCCATGTCACCATGTGACAATTCAAATTGCCACATCAAATACAAGTACATACAGTGTATTGTGCTTCAATAAACATCATGCATAGTTTTGGCCTTGGACTCAATTTTTTATAATATTTCCAAAATGCATGCATCATGTACATGTACAGTCTCATTGGCCTGACCACTGCATTGAGTTTGCAAATTGCCAATGATGTTTAATTAAAGTAGCATTGAAGTTTTAAGGGCAGAACAAAAATAGAAATTTTAACAATCACTTAACTTTTCAGGGTCAGAGCATCACAAAAATTACGAAGCATATTTTGTAACAGAAAACCAGTGATAATCGGTGGTGTATTCATACTATGGCTTTTTTGATTCACTTCACTCAAAAAATGTGTCGGGGCAATTTTTAAAAAGATTTTCCCAAAATATGTAAAATGCAGTACAGGGAAAAAACAATTGCAAAATAATTTTCAATGACAAAGAATTTTTGAAGACTGCACTGCTCAGTTTCTGTGGCTTTTTATCCATGAGAGACAATTGGACCTACACACATGCGGGGTCAGCCCGTAAGTCTGATGCCTCATAATTCTGACACTTCATAATTCCGACACCTCATAAGTCCAAAAGAAGCGTTTAAAAGTTTCGTTTTTTCCCCCATGGCATCGATCTAACGCCTCAAAAAATCCAATGCCTCGAAAGTTTGACGCTTGATTTGACGCTTGTTACGAGCGTACAAAGACAGCGCTAGGAACAAGACTGGTTCCCGGTGCAAGTATGGTGTACTATTTATGAAAATTTTTAAGATTTCAAAGGTATTACAGTCGAAAAAATGCTTTTTATATTTAGCGAAGTATCGCACATCATTCTTACACATACATGTAGTGGTGTTTTGGATTAAACAAATACTGGACCAGTGTACGAACTGTGCAGGTAGTCTGCTTGATTTAGTTTTCCTAACAGGGCCAGTACCGTGGGCACGAGTTGGGAACGAAGTTGAATCTCCCTCGCGGGCGACGCGTCGCGCGGGCCCGCACTCCTCCATGTTTCACAGTCAATCACACTGACACCTCATTATTAAGTCAAACACCTAGTTGGTCCAATGTTGGATTTATGAGGCGTCAGACCTTTCAGGCATCGGACCTATGAGGTGTCGGACTTACAATACGCACCCCACACGTGCAAACCACAGAACAGCATACATGGACATGTACTAACCCCATATTATGTTAAGTCCACCAATACAAACCCCTGTATTATCATGCATGCGCATGTTATGTGTCACACACAGGTTGAAAGACCAATGTGCATACATGCAGAGGGCTACATCACTATTATCCACTTGTTGCTGGGGTTCCCAATACCAGAGACCTTGGCCTATATTTATGGCTGGGGTGCCCGAAATCAAACTTTGGAACTGGGCGTTTATTCATGGCCAGGGTGACCAAACTGGCAACAAAAGACTGAGCTGCTGGGACTTGCCGATAAAGGTTCATATGCAGTCAGTGCAGAGTGCTGGCATTAGCGGAGGTAATCTGTCATTGTTTTGAAATAGTACCATTGTTTGCCACTGCCAGTGCTTGCGGATAATCAGTGGGGACAAAAGCACTCCAGCGACGGGTGATACAATACCACTGTGCATTTGTGGAACCTGGCCGCATTACTAAAGACAACACCACCATCCAGCAACGCACCGGACAAATTTCCAGAACAAAGAGGAAATTAAGCAACACCGCACAATGGGGGCTCTTTACTAAGCAGCAGGCGTGGCTGCAATAATTACGCAGCAATGGAGGTTGCCTGTCAGATTAGACTTGTCACAAGACAGTCATTCGTTTGGGTGTATACATCCAGTAAATGAAAATATGAATTTTTGAAGAATTTTGAAACCAGAAAATCATGAAAAACCACCCGGCATCAGGTCATGCATGCCGGTAACTCAACCCAGCATGAAATGGTTAAGGGTGAGAGTTATGACATTACAGATTATATTGGATATGCAGGCAATGTGCCACTAATTAGGCAAAAGTTTAGTTGTTTATCACCAGCAGAGTGACTGTAAACACTATTAACAAGTCCAATGCCTTGGCATGGTCAAGGCCAGGATTACAATAGACATTTACTGTAGCTGAATCACAAGGGTCAAAATTAACTTAACCACTTGCTGCCAGGTGGAATTTGAAGTTGTATGACATAAAACCAGGGGATTTTCAAGATTTTCCGTTTTCAAATTTCTTTCCAAAAATTGTTTGAAAAGTTGGCAATTCCCAGCAGCTCAGTCCTTTATTCCAAGTACCGTCTTTTGTTACAAGGCCAAGCTCCTTTGTCCTACAGTATGTGCATGAAACCGGGCTCCCCAGCAGCAAGTGGTTAAAAGCTCTTGGTTGCCCACAGGGTCAGTGGGAAGTGCACCACATTGAAAATGTAGTGGTCTGGGTTGAGTTTATATGTATTGAAATTGATGAGACCCATCACACATGCCCATTTGTGTCAGTCAAACTCCTTTACCAAAACAGCTTCTTGGCAATCCCAACTGGATTTAAATGCATTTTTAAGGCTTCTGATTTCCTGACTGATCCCAATTTGTTGATACAACCATAAAATTTGCATTGGCAAGTTAAAAAATAAATTAACATAAATTTAAAAATTGCAGACAAAAATCTTGTCTTTTCTGTCTTCACAAAACACCTGCAACAACTTTTTTCACATCTAAACACTTGTATTAATATGTTTGCCAACTTACATTTGGAACTTTTGAAAGGAACTTCCTTACTTTCACAAGTTCCCTTTGCCTTTCACTATTGCGGTGGTGAAAACACGTGCTCAATGATGCTTAATGCATCCAAGTAAATGGCACTAGTTTGCACCATGCCCCGCATTGCCTGGCAAAGAAGGCACATTGATACTGCGGCAACCAGTCAATGCATCCGTGTGAAAATAGTGCCATAACTGCCACAGCCAGAAATGATGATGTTATTAAATACATGTTTTGCATAGAAGTAGTTCCCCTTTAAAAATGTTTAGCTTTTTTAGTTTAGAGTTCTTGATTTTTTTCTAGTAGTGTGCTACTTTGTCCCTTGCTTCTACCCATATAACTTGGCCACATGGTCTGGCCGAACTCAGTTCAGCAGATCAGCAGAGACCAATCACCTTCACATGTATTATTCCTCCTAACTGGAGTGTGGTTTTCTGTTTGAGCCCTATTCTGCTAGAAGTCAGTGATGGAAGTCCGAGTGTAAACTCATTCAGTCCATTTTACATACTATGTTGGGTTTTGGGTTTGGTTTTTAGCCTTTTGGTTTAATTTCTTTTAAGTCCTTTGGTCCTTTTGTTTTTTTTTATTTTTTAAGTACTTTTTATTAGTAAATTATTTTTTTTGTCCTTTTTTCAACAGTCAAATATTGGTGTATGAGTCCTTATTAATTCAGTTCCTGCGACTTTTCCTTCAAAGATCCTTGGTTTAGTTAGAGTTTTTGTTGTTTGGCGAGTTCCCCATAGTGTGCCATTTTTCCAATTAAAACTGCAATGTACATGCAAGCAACTCTACAGTAGCACATTGTAAGGAAAAAAATTGATGTTGTAAGTTCTTTGCAAGTTAATTCACAGAACTTGATGTATCTTCTGTATTCATGAATTCAACTTGAGGTTGTACTGCTCCACAACAATTACTGCCACAGCACAAGGTTTAGCGCCCACCCCTCTAAATGCATCACGCATGCTTACCACAGGATATATGAACATTGTCTGTCAGTTTCATGTCGTGATAACCAAACAAATTTGAACATGGTCGTGTGGATTGTCCAATATTCTTAAGTACTGTTGCCTGTAGGTATTTTTATATTGATTAATGCAAGTTTTTATCATTTGTCTGTTTTAATGTTTTTTAGATTTGCTCCCATTCAATCAGCGTAAAAAATGGGCCAAACAAAATTTTCCAACCTTGGCCTTGGGGATTGCGCGTGCCACCCACCCTCAGTGAATGCCTGTGCCCCCTGGATGGCCACATTTGAAATCTGTGAATAAATTCTGTTGAGCTTGAATACCTATGCAGCTGCAGCTTATTTTATTTTGGTGCCACTTGACAAAAATGTGTGCACCCCTAGGTGCCCCCTCTGAGACATTAGCCCTATTTACACTACTTGCGAAACCATAGACTGTTTGCTGACTACAAGACCCCCCAAAAAGTCTTTCATCACAATGTGCTTGTAACTGCAATATGTTAAGGACATACGCTCCCAGCCGCAGTTTTACCTCAGTTCATTGAGACTGTGCCGAATGATATTGTGATGCACTAGGTCAGGCACCAAAACACCTCATGTCAGGATGCTTTTTTTCCAGACTGGCACTTATGGGTTTTTAGAGCATAATTCAATCTAATGTATAACAGAAATTCTACTATGAGGTCATTCATGGGCTACTGGAGGGATACACAAGGCCAGGTGGGAGACCTGGGCATCGGCCAACTGACGCCCCTGCCGCCTGACAGAACATCACTTCCTGGCCATCAACAATGACCTGACACCAGCTGGACATCCACTGAAACCAGACTTTGTTGTCTGTTCAAACCCAGCCATCAAGCATCACCAAGCTCAACACCTGTGCATTGAATGGAAGAAACCCATGTGTCCCAGCACCCTGCTTCAGGAGATACTACACGTTGGTCAATTACAAGGCAGACTGTGTCCCTGGTTACCACAAATAGCT